AAATGGGTGCTCGCTTAAGCTCGTTGGTAGGTGACTGATTTTTTTCTGTGCGCTTACAACAGAGAGGTTCTCCGTAAAGAGAGCCTACTTGCTAATAACTTTCAGAGCTTTTTTGAGCTTAAGTTACTGGAAAAATTTTAAATTTCTGAAGACTCTCAAAAAAAGTTTTGAAAATAAGTGAAGTTGCCAAAACTTTTCCGGTATATTTTGAGAACATGTCAACACTTTCGAAGTATCAATAAAGCCAAGTAATTTACGGAAAACAAGCTTCCCCGCAACCATTACATAAAACGCAGGTAAATTTTGTTGAATGGTTGCTTATGAAAGTGCAGAAAGCGGGGGGTGTTACAGGGAGGTTAGTTATAGAATAGAGAGTAGGAAAATTCATCATTTTTGTATCGATTGATTTTTTTCCTTTCATATTTTGTCAAAAATTACTAAACACCGCCCACAAAACTCGGCACTTACCGTCGTGCTCACTGGAAAAAAACATTGGATCTAGAGTCCAGACTCTTGAAACATTGACAAGAAAAAATACTCTTGATTCAATCAGATCTAAGCTTAAATCAAAAGGAAATCCGCTCAAATTAAGAGGCTTGGTTCTTGATTTAAGCAATAATCCGATTGAATCAAGAGTATTTTTTCTTGTCGATGTTTTTAAGAGTCTGGACTCTAGATCCAACGCGGGTTTTTTTTCCAGTGCTGAACATTTACACCATCGTCTACTCAACGAGCTCCATGGTATACGCTTAGCTCAAACAAGTACATACCACCCTCCAAAGTGAACGATATTAATAGACGGTCCTTATTCGGTATTTTCTTTTTACATGTGAAAGGAATAATTGAGGCAAGAGTAAATATATGGAAAGGTATAGTCTTGAGGTATATCTTTGAAAATGCACGAAAGGATAAGCGATCGCTATGCTTCTACAAAATGGGTACACATAACTCATCGTGAATGGTCCTCTATATAATTTCGAGCATGTACGTGAGTGGGTGCACGCATCTTACCTCGCGCGGGACTAACTGCTTGTGAGTCAGAGGCGCGCCTTCAACCACGCGTGATACCGTGCAATACTCAAGTGTCTAAATAGTCGCATGCTCGGAGATCGTGAGCAACCTTGTAATTTGGTCATCCTAGCGAGGCAACTTCTCACGATTTGATGTATTTATGCTAAGAGAGACAATGAGACAATGATTCAATAAAATTGAACTATAAAGAAAAATCCCATTTTTCTTTTGATTGAATTCATTGTAAAGTTGTTCCAATAAGTATTGATAAATCTGCAATCATTTATGAAATTTGGAACCGCGTGCCGTAAGCTTCAAACGCAGCAATAGGAACAAGATACTTTGAAATATAAGATGGTGTTATTCAATATTTCTTTTTCTTTTGATACGCTGTGAATACTTATGGAAAAAAATCATTCTCGTGTGCACTTTTTCAATGTATTAATTTCAATTTCCGTGGTACAAAAAGTGCTCCATCTTAATATGGTACATGCCGCACGAAACAAGCCAGCTTCAGTTGACTATCCACATTTTAATTCGATCAATTCCTTCGTGCAACGCTATTACCTCAGTATTTTACGGAAAGTACACATAGTCCAGTCAATCTGGTATGTCTCTGGGAAAATGAATTTATGGAGGGTTTCTTTGTGGAAACGTGATACAATAGGCCACCAAAACAACATAACAAAAGTTTACGGAAATCAGCTGTCCGATACGAGGCCACCAGCTCGAAAAAAGGCGGGCTGGGTGACGGACTGTCACATATGAGCGCCTACAAGACTGTAGAAATACTTCAAGCATTACGCCAAATATAGTGCGGTTGCCTGTTGGAGCCAAGCGCATACGAGCGCCTACAAGACTGCAGGAATACGTCACGCATTGCACCTAACGTACAGCGCGATCGCCGGTTCGCGCAGCGCCTACAAGAGTGCACGAATACTTCACGCATTGCGCCTAACACAGTGCGGTCGCTGCTCGGGGTGAAACGCATATACTATTGCATGCCATTTCGCTGGAGGATTCCTGATTAATTTCAGGTAACATAGACATTTTTGGCGCTTCTGCCGAGGGAACTTAAATTGTTTAGTGCGTACAGCGAAAAACCAGGTTTGGTTAAAAAAAATAATCGGTTTTCAATACTCGGTGCTAGCATTTGCTAATATTAACTTTTAAGGACATTGGGTCACAGTTTCAATCGCGTTATTAATTTTTTTTAAATTGTTTGAACTGAACCATTCCAAAAGGTGGCAACAGCGCTGGCAAACTTTCTTGAATTTCTTATTTTTTTCTTCAAACTTTGAAATGCTGCAAAAGTCCAATTTGTTTTAATTTTCGGTTCTCCAAATTATGCAGAAATAACCCCTCTAAGCTATGGTACAGTTGTTTCATTTTCTCCTTGCCTTAAAGTACATTTTGCCCGGCTCAGACACACATAATCTGAAATTTCTTCGTAGGAAAAAGAGTTCACACGATTTTCATAGGTCAGGTAGACAGGTCGATAACCCACCGTGGAACTTCAGTTGCGATATCTTAAGTAGTTTGACAAACTTCTATCGCTATTTGCAAGGAAAATTGCGGAAAAGACCCCCCAGAATCATCTCTATCGTTGCATGCACTTTAAAGGAGGTAGCTCTTGGCTGATGGTGATAGGAAATAAGTGTAACTACTAATTGAAAGACATTATAATTATGGTTAAATTAGGAAAGTGGTGCTATATTTTACTCGGAAAAAGTTAGCCGGTAATTTCGGCGATAAATAATCATTCCATTAGAGGGAAGTAAAATCTAGATGCATGCAGTGAGTATGCTTCCAGTTGAGGGCGTAATGTGTTGGAGCGTTAGCAGGTGTTTTCTTGTCTCTTAAAGCTCCCTTCTCTTTTTACACGCGTACCCTCATGCTCAAAACTATTGACCGACCAGTGAGGCCCTCTCTTTGCCTTTTCCGTGTTATCGGCAGTGAAGACTCAATTGCTTTCTCCGCAGAAAATATCCGATCCTTTCCATCCTCTTCAAGCAAAGTGTGGGGTTGAGATAAACTGTCCAATCAAGCGGGTTCTATTCTAAACTTTGGAGATATTATGTAGACATTTTATTCGTTGGTAGGATAAAAGCAACACTCACTTTGGTAAAACAGCCGATAATGTTTTCCTCATTGCCTCATTATGCAAGTCCATGAAGCCCATGCGCGGATCTACCCCTCAGTGAGGTAGGGCAAACAGCATGGTACCTGGTACCCAGATTCTGGGTACGTATCAGACCTGCTCGGATTAGTGCCTATTCATAAACTACTACGAGCGAAAAGCTTGTGCCTAACCAAAATCTAGATGATGTGAGAATCTAACTCGGGGTCATTTTTTTCTATAGAAACCAGCCAATTAAACAGCTTGTTAATTATACCAAATATTTTTCAAAGACATAAAAACCGTGAAAATGTTGGTTTTCTCATTGAAAACTGTAGCATGGGGTCTACAGCGTCGCAAATTGAGATGCGGCGTTCACCAGCTTAGCCGTCTTCATCTTTCAGTAAATATTTTTACCCCTTCTTTTCCTCATACAAATATTTTAACTTCAGTTCGTTTGAATATTTTGTCTTCGATTTTCACTTGATGAAGGCCGATGAAAATACCTGGAATATATGTATGACCACAGTGATTTCAGTTTGTTTGAAGACCGTTTCTCAACTCATCGGACAAAAATGGAGGTAAAAGGTCAACATGCGATGAAATAAAGGAAGCCACAACATTATCATCTTTTTAAAAATGTGGAAATGAACATATAAACAAAGCTATGTAAAATTATATTATTTATTGTGCTTAAAGCTTTCTCGACCGAGATCTGCAGAGCTAAAAGTTACACACCATTAATCTCAATATGTAGATGTTGGATTATTGGTGTTTAACTTTTAACTCTGAAAATAACTACCTGTTGGTTGAAAACACTAGTAGCATTACCTATATATAAATGCTATAATTTTACATTGTTTTGACATTGCGTTTATTTTCACATTCAAGCTGGTGATATTTAAGTCATCGAGTTTTGTGGGATATTCGCGAAGAATTATTTGGACTGGACGAAGAGAATGAAGAAGTGAAGGATGGGGAGAAATGAGTGACGCATAACTAACCCCCCCCCCTCCCCTCTGATTTCAGCGTCTGGTTTGGATCAAGGGTTTTTCTTGACTTGCCACCCGGCTGAAAGTAAATAAATTATGCATGAAAAATTGAAAATTTTGAATGGAGTGCTACGCGTAAATGGCATTTAACACTGTCCCTCACACATCTGTGAGCGAACTGCGGTGAGATGTTATTAATCACTGCTCTACCAACTGCGTCCCGTAACTAATTAGTAATTGATATCGGTGCAGGCCCCGAACCCCTCATCCTATTACACTTATGCGTCCCACTGACTCTGCCGATAATTTTGTCGAAGAAAAATGGCGCCTCCTCTTCATATTTAGAGCCTCATGGAAACAACAAAATTGACACAAATTTACAACTTCCCAACCGTCCCTTAGTCGGCTTTCTGGAGCTCGTTTGCGTATTTTGGCTCTGAGGGGATCAGTCGAATAGTTTTGGAAGTGGTTTTTATCCAAAAATAAGTAATTTTCTTGAATCGTCCACCTTGCAGGGAGGTAGGAGGCAAAATTGTATGCCAGATTACCGCGAAATGTCTCTTAGCATTACTGCCGTGCTGAGGAAAAACGACATATGAACATTCGAGAGTTGTCAAATTTCATTCAATAAATTGTTTATTTTTGAGGGAAGCTATGAATATTATTCCTCGAAATTTTCAGACACTTCAGATGAAATTGCGAACAAAATTATATGAAAAATTGGAAGAAAAATATTGAAAAATTTTCCCGAGAATTCGTAACTTACCAAAAGAAACTTGGCAACGCCTGAAGGCGGTTCATACGGCGTTCTTCCTTAGCCCGACAGATTGAGGCAACGTCATTTACGTGACAGAAAGAGACATTGGCATCCAAAACCATTTAGAAGAAAGTCAGATTTAATAGGTATTAATTATTTTTTTTTCTTCAAAAATTAATTTAATACAAAGACAATAGCCTGTGAAGAGGACGACTGATTACACTTGTCAGGCGGAGGTACCAAAATTTGAACTAAAAACCTGAACTACATAATTTGCCGGCTGCTCGACTGACCATCTTATCTCAGAAGAGAGCGCTAGAATAATGCGCGTACTGTAATTTAAAAACACATTTTTGTGTGACTTTGTGTCACCTCAGGGAAATACTCTGTCCATGCCTCTCCGCCAATAACTATACCTACTTTCGCAGAAGTTCATTGTGCTTTGATATCTTCTAGGAGCGAAGAAATTTCCGTTTCTCTCACTTTTACATTCGAATAACTGAATTCTGAGATTCCAACCCCGGGAACTCCGTTGACCCTGCAACGTACGAAGCTTTCGAACATTTTTATTTGGCGGTTGAATCCCTTCAAATGTTGGCCGCGATGCACCGTCTCAGCTTGCGCAGTGTATAAATTGCCGCCTGCAAGTACATAAATCAAAGTAGCAAGTAAATATGATTTGCATCGGAAAACAAATAAGGATAAGCAGATAAAAAGTGGAATACCTAAGAGTGATCCAAATTCCATTGACTCCATGCCAGAACAAATATCTACTAGGGCAATGAAGCTACAACAGAAGAGGTTGCCAAAATAATTTCAAATCGTCGTGGATAGTTTTGGACATTATTGAAGATCAATTTGAAGGACAATAACATTACAAAGGCTCCCAGGTTGCAAGCCTAAGTATAAGCATGATGTATGCCAGATGATGAATATACGCGATTTGGGAGCATATTTGATTGATACTTACCGGCCTTGAACTGGAAAGCAATATCAATTGGTGGTTTTCCTAATTCGCCGTGCTGATATATCTTCAAATCTGTCCATTCCAGTGGATCAATTATTCCTTTGCAGTCACTTACATACCCCACGAAGAGTCTGCAAGTTCAAGGGGAGAAAAATACAACTGAATAAGTCACAATTCAACCTATGCCTCAAACCATTTCAGAATTATGTATGTAATGTTGTTCTTAGACAAAAGCGCCACGATAAACAACTGCAGTTGCTTGCACTAACTAAATTTTGTAGAGAAAGTCAGGGCCGGATTTACTTACTTGCCGCTCATGGGCCGCCTGTATTTTGCCGCCCTCCTCTCATTCGTTTTGAAACATCAATAAAAACTATCAAGTGAACGTGCCGGAGGGGGAGGGGTGCATAAGACTCGTTTATCTACGTGTGTTCGATACATTCTTTTGCGAAAGCCCAGTCAACATTACTAGCAAAATTTCCAGGAACTTGAGGCGAAAGTTTCGTTCCGTAAACCTATCTCTGTGTGGACAAGATCCTCCATTTATAAGGAATGAACCAAAAAATTATGAAAGAACAAACACAAATCGACGGTGAAACTACCAAACCACGTATCTCGTTTGCGGTGTTTAAAAATCTACGCTCGCATTTTATTTTTTTGAGGTAGACCAAATCAATATCATTCCTTGAAATTTTCACAGAATTTTCTCCGCACGAAGAGGAAAAATCACAGAAATTTTCAAGACTGGACGTTGAGTAGTTTTTAATTTAAAAAATAAAGTATGANTTGGGGTCAATTCCCTGTTCAACCCCGCAGTCCCCCACTTCGTACTACCTAAACCAACCGAGAAAAAGACCTGTTACGGGTGGTCTGGCATACCCTGTATAACGAAGTATAAAAAGATTATTTATTGGAGGGGAAGGGTGTGGGAGGAGAAAATATCGATAATTATAGCCTACAGCATGAATATGAGGCTCTATAGCGGTGAAACAACCTCTGCCTTGCCCGCGCGGGATGGAGCGCCGCCGATATGCCGCCCGCGCGTAACCGGTAACGCGCAGAAAAATCGCTGTAACTCACGAACGAATCGTTTCCCCAAGGTCAAACAAAGTGTAGTAAATGCAAAATTTTATGGAGAATCACCTCAACAGGTTTTCATTCACGTAGCAACGATTCCAAAGAGAGGAGAGGCGAAAAACTAAAAAAAGTCGAAACGTCAAAATCGAAAAAATCGATTTATGACCGCGATAAATTACGCAACCGTGCAAACAGCATTAATATTCTTGTAGAGAATATTTTTTAACGTTTTTTAGCGCAAACCGCAACACTTACACTCAAACCGTTCGCGAGATATCGATTTTTAAAGTTTTAAAAAAATTGCAACTTTGCCCCCCTGCCCCCTCCCCCCTAATTATCCGAGGGGGCTGAAATGTTGCCCAAGCATCGGGGACACTTAGTACAACATCTGAGCAAAGTTTGGGCCAAATCCAAGGGGGGGCCAAAATCGGCGTCTTTGGAACAACCTCTTTCCAGGAACTTGAGGCGAAAGTTTCGTTCCGTAAATCTATCTTTGTGTGGACAAGATCCTCCATTTATAAGAAATGAACCAAAAAATTATGAAAGAACAAACATAAATGTGGTTTAATAATTTTAACTTCCGCCGCTGCGCCGCGCCGCGCTGATCGCACTGTGTTTGGCGCAATGCGTGAAGTATTCCTGCAGTCTTGTAGGCGCTATGCGTTCCACGCCAACCGCTCCTGACCGCTTGACCGCACTGTGTTTGGCGCAATGGGTGAAGTATTCATGCAGTCTTGTAGGCGCTAATTTGTGTTACATGCTGACCGCCGCGCGCCGCGCCGAGGGCTTGTCCTTCTCATTTCAAGCCCTCGTCATCATTCCTCTCTGCGGTGAGCTCCAGGCAAAATTGCGTGTTTAGTTCCTCTCTTAAATCGACTAATTAAAGATGCTGTCTCTTGTATCACCGAAAAACGACAAAATTAGAAATTATTATACTCTCAGGAAAAAAGATTTTGTTTCTTTTTCTTACTGATAATTTTTTTTTCTGAATCAATTTTTTTATACCTACATTTAAAAAAATTGGAAAATTTGCCGCCCCCTAAATTTGCCGCCATGGGCCGCGATCCATGTGGCCACCCCCTTAATCCGGCCCTGGGGAAAGTATTGTAGTAATAAGTATCGACAATTTTTAAATGTTATGTTACATTCATTTACATGCTACCAAGCATCCCATGGTTCCTCTTTAAATACTCTTAGAAACTCATTTTCGAATAACCATGGCAGTTTCTGAACTGTAACTTGACTTACTCAGAAAATGATCCAGGTTGACATACGACCCCTACCTCTACGAAATAACCATTCTCTAGGAACAACATGAACATCGAATATCTGTGCATCAAATTCCAATTTCTCTGTTTACCTAGAAAATAACAAAAAAAGTTTAGACTACACGAGAAAAGGTAATTACTGCATCACCCTAACAATAAAGGAAAACAAATAATGAAAGTATTTAAGTATAGGCATTAGATAAACTCATGTCTACTTTTTAAATAAGGAAAAATGTATGTTCAAAATGAATTTCAGCTTCAGAGTTGAGAGAACAAGAACTCAACCCTTTTTAAAAATAGAAAACACCAATAGGAAACCCTCAAAACTCAAAAATGTAACGCAGTTACAATGAACGATTAAACGGAATAACAATTAAACGATAAATTAAAGATATAAAAAGGTTACCTAAGCAGAAGCCTTCATTTCGACAATTTTATTTTTCGTCATTACAAGTCTCTTCAAATTTTACAGTACCCCTTAAAAAGCTATGCAATTTCTCTTATACTTGCCGAAAGAATGATCCCGATATGTTGGTGTTGAAGGAACAGAAATGTTTGTACCATCTATGGTAAGAGATGCCTCGAGGATTCCAATCTGCTCATAGTGGTTTTGCTGATGCCTAAGAAGAATTGAATAATTTAATTACATGTTGTTGGAACGAAATCAGAACCTCTTTCAATTTCTCTCTCTCCTCCACCTCCCCCCCCCCCCCCCCNGGTCTCCTTCTCTATATCCCTCTTAAGCAGCATCGAGATTTATCCTTGGGCAACAGTAATACATATACTTTTGCTTGGCGCTAGAGGTGGACTGGTCTCGGAGGCCAGGGATAAATTCTTCCAAGCCAAAAAAAAAAGTAAAAAAATCCCCAAAAGTGCCCCATTTAGCATCTTTAAAGGAACTTTGCAAAGCCTTTAACCACGTCTTTTGAACTGTTTGAAAAATCCTCAGGGTGAGGATCTATGTTGAGATTTTAAGAGGTTTTGCGTATGCTACCAACAGGAAGAGCTTTTAGCTGACCTCCTCCGATCATTTTGGAAATACTACGTAACTACATCACTATACCCTTAATAGTGGGTGTCAAAAAATGTTCACTGCCACGAAAACTGAAATAAGAGTCTCGCAGTCAGTTCGAACAGGCACCATTCCTTTAAAAAAATATAAATGACCTACTATTGAAGTTAAGCCTAGTTTTGTCGGAACTCAGAACTGGCGAGATGAGAGCGGAAATAGGCAAACTCAAAAAACTTCGTCGAGATTCCGGAAAACTCAATGCGTTTTCATCACAAAAATTTTTAGGATAGTTTCGTAGCTCTGATGCTTTTGGAAAATGGTCAGTGGAGGTCGGCCAGAAGCTCTCTCGAGCAGAAGAGCTGTAGAAAGTATGGCACCAGTTCGACCCAACCGGCCTACCCAAGGTTTTCATATTTTTAGGTGAACGTTTGAGAGATTCAAATCAGCAATTTATGTAACATAAAGATAGGAAAAAACTCATCTGATTAGTAGAAAGTAGAAGACTACAATTTAATTTCATGGCAAACACGATCGCATGCTGTAAATATAGAAAACCTTTTGGTGGCTAATTTTGGAATCCTGAAAATTTCATGTGAAAAAAGTTAGAGTCCCTTTATACCCAGACCCAGAGTTACGACAACTCACTTTTGGTTGGGCCAGGATTGGGCTGAAAGTGGCCTAAAAAAAAATCCAATTCTGATTGGTTCTCGCTCATGGGGGCCGAAACGAGTGCACCAAGATGGCGGTACCTCGAATGTGAACAAGAATAATGAAAATATTACCTAATTGTGGTTTATCAAGAGTAAATTGTTATTTCCATAGGTCCAAAATGAATCCCTCAATATCGTTCGTTAGGGTGCACTCGTTTCGGCTTCCATGGCCAGCCAAGGACGGCTGCCAGTCAGCTGATAATCGAGTTGTCGTAACTCTGGGTATAAAGGGACTCTAAAAAAAGTGAGTGTGCTTGTGCTTACTCTTTTAATGTTTCAAAATATTGTTTACTCCATGGTTCGAGGGCAATACCGTGAGCTAGGACGTGCGAGTGAAGATCTGTGTCAAAGGAAAAATATGGTTGATCAGAGCTGAACGTGCCTTTGAAATGCACATTGCGCCGCTTGCCATTCTCCATCCTGGAATAAAAATAACCTTGAAAAATTATAGTTAAGCTTTATTTTCCGAAGGAATAAATAGAAATTTGCAGTTTAATTAAACCTCACCCAATTCCATCGATAAGCAACTTAAAATTCTAAAATAAATTTTATTTTTCAATTTCGATTTGTGTAGCATCAATATGCATCGGTGCAGCTATTAAGGGGCCAGCGGGCCGATCATTGATATTTTGTGTTTGTCTGGCGGACATAGGTTAAACGGCGGAACGTGATTGGTCGACTATGTCTCATCGCTGCTTTGTCGTGCTTTTGTCGGTGGAATAGATGACATACTGTCGGGAACTCAAGAGGTGCCTTTAGCTTGTCGTGAATTCCACCTGACAAAGGCCCGACAAAGCAGCGATTAGACGTAGCCGATCAATCACGATCCGCCGTTCAATTAACCTATGTCCGCCCGTCAAATACAAAATGTCTTAAGAATTGGGCTGCAGGGGACCCGCCCCCCCCCCATAGAATTTGTAAAAGTAACAAAAAAGTCTAAAGTCTGAGGTGTAAAAATCTGCCCCTCCCCTCTGAAATTTTTTACTTCAAATCAGCCTAACATTCTGTGCTACGCAATGCAAAATGAGAGATAAAGAAGAGAACAATTTAAAAAAAATCACACAATTTTTATTTGATAATTGGCGTCAGGGTATCCTCAAAATGCACTTAAAATGCGGCTTATTTTTCAAAATGTTCCGACTTTAAGGGCCTTCGTACAGAGGGGGCATTCCAGATCCCCAAACCGTTGGAGACCATTTATTTAGAGGGCGCAGTCCCCCCCTCCCCCAGGAAACTGATCTAGCTGCGCCTATGTCATTAACTAATTTTAACACAGTATTTTACCTCATATCGCCGTCATAAGCAATCATCCACTTTTTCATGGGCTCTACAACAGAAATGTGAAATCCTTTTACATTGTAGGTGCCCTCCTCCGCCGGATAAAGTGCAGTATTTGGCATTTCGATATTTTCGAGCAGTCCAAGACCAGGTACCTGTAACAAGAGTTCTCCGGTGGAAAAACCTACTTTCCCCGCCTTTTTTCAAGTAAATATGAGGGGCTTAGAGGATAAGGCGCATAAGTGCAGTTTTCGCTATTTCAAGAAATACATGTTTGAAGTTTCGATATTACATGGATCCTTATATCGGAAAGAGTGTTCTAAATGACTTTTTGATGCTTGAAAATTTGAATTTGAAGCGATTTTCTCACAGAATATGCATTTAGACTAGTTTTACTCGAAACCATTAATACCTTAATATTTTCAAAAACTGATTTTATGTGCCCTGTCTTCCAAGCCCCGCATGTGTTAGTTGCAATTCGGAAATACCAATTTTACCAAGTAAAAGCTTCAAAAACCCGTAGAAGCCCAAGGTGGGTCAAATTAACCCGAGGCTTGCTAAAAACACGTGCCCCGCAGGTTGCACGATACCGGTACGTGGGAGTTTTAGATGGATTACATTTTGCAATAAGGAGCCACTATTTTTAGCCCATTTTAGAAACAACATACATGGCATTGGTTTCCCTATGCAGATATTTGCTTTTATGAGAGAGCCAGAGATAGTAGTTCCTTATTGCAAAATGCAATCCAAATGTAGGTCTACAAATAAATTTTAAAAAAGGAATCGGATGTCAAATTGAAAAAAAGAAAACAATTGAATGTCAGCACAGCCGTTAATAGGAGAGACTTATTTGGACGGAGTTAAACAGAAAGGAACCAAGCCACATAGGGATCGAACCAAGAAAAAGAGGTTTAAAGTTTGGCTCCTGCATAAGACTCAATGTAAAAGATAAACTTCAAGTTGAATTTCTGCAAAATTTGCTCCAACAAAAACTTTGAATTTTTGGCGATAGATAGTAGAGCAGTGGTTGAGTTCAAAACCACTCATAACTCAATTTTTTCCAAAAAGTGGGTTGGTTCCTTTCTGCTTAACTCAGTCCATTTAGGCCTCGTCTTCTAACTTATATCCCGAATCTGAGCGAGCATAGAAAGAAGCATTGCGAGTTCACGCCTCGCGCCATCTCGCCTTCAATTTTGCAGATGCAACACGGACATCCATCAAGCACGAATAGTTGTATCTCTGCGCCGTCATTAACGCGCTCTAAAAGAAACCATTTGATTTCCATTTGCTTCGTTTTTCTCCCTTCACTCGCAAGTATGTAATTATGCATAAGAGGAAACAAATTTTAGATGCTACATTTACCACAACATAAAAGAGACAATTAGACACACTATTATTCCGTCTTTCTACTCCGATGACGAAATAGAACCCATCTGAATTCGCCGCCATAAAGAACACAGCATCAAAACCCTGAAAAGAATAAAAAGAAAAGATTCAAGGAAAACTCGGTTTCGGTTGGTAAAAAATATACGTACTATACCGACATACCTGAACACTATAAGTACTGTTTTTAAATTTAAGGGAAGGAAAACCCACTGAAACTGTAGCCCGAATACTGTAAATAACGGGATGATAAACTAGTTCTGAGTTCACATTATTCTGCGGGGAAATCAAATACAGAAAAAAAGATAGAAAAAAAATTAAAATAGATTTGCAAAATTCTTGTGCCGAAATTCAAACACACCCGCCTTAGCTGAACATTCCCCTTTCTCAGTCGTATTACAACTCATTGGAGTTGGTTTTGTAATTCTAATTTTGATTTTTGTTTCTTTCGGGCTTCGATTTCCTGGCAGATTGTGCGTCCCCAGTATATCGGCGTGTTTGTGTTTCTGCCAAACGGAACTATGTGCATTATGACGTGACGTGAGCCCTGCTATGCATATATTCTTGTGGGTCTCCGGGCTCATGTCTTCATGCATATAGTCCCGTTTGACATAAATACGTCCAATTGTTCGACACGTTGCTCATAAGCTTTCTCACGAGGCATTAAACAGTTTTCTAGAGCCAATAACTTTTTTAGAAAGCTAATCAAATTTTTAAAACGGAGATAGGGAATTTTTTCGAGGTGGCCCCGGGAAAATGAGTTTTCTGAGCTATCAGTCAAAGAAGATGAACAAATTGTTTGAACGCTGAGAGCATAAAATTTTCGGCGGTATATATGCTCACGATTTTTTAGCTTTACCATACGTTTTGAGAAATAAGCAGGAAAACTTACTCGCTATGACTAAATCTTTTAAATTTGAATGGTAGTATCAATCATTCAAAGCTCACCCATGGACTATCTGCAAGGGGTTGAGTGCAATCGTAGGCCTCTGCGAATTTTTTTGGGTCGGCTAAGTTTGAACTTTTCATTTGATGGAAAGGATGATTCTGAAAAAACGGGAGAAAATGCGTTATTTAGATTAGCATCAGGGGGTAGGTGGTGTTCTTATTTTTCAAAATTTTCAGATTGTTTCGTTAGAACCTTATTACATGTAGTTTAATTTATAGTTTTGTTACATATATTGCACATCCCGAATAAGGGGTATAATGTAATACGCCTACAGTTTTAAAACTAGTTTTGTCCTTTGTGATCATTATAAAGGAACTGCTACCTATCAATGCAGGCCTTAAATATGCGCAAATTTCTTCCGCAGATTATGAGGTCAGGGGTAAATTTCAGTCTTTGTTAATGCAATCGCTGTAATTTTTAGCCAATTTCTATAAAAATTATCTATTGGTTTTACTTTTAACTAGAGATTACGACAAGCCTATTTCGACAGAAAATGAAATCATAACTAAACACAATGTGAGAAAATCAGGATAGTTTGGCGATGCTTATTAGCTACTTTAAGGTTCTCATTACCAACGTTTATTGTGTTATTTTTTTGTTTTGTTTTCATCCTAATAAATCTATCTCAATTTAAAGGTAATTTCCCGGTATTTTTATTAAATCTTTTACATTCGATAATTGGCCACATATTCAGCTATACAGACAGCCAACATACCCCCGCCATCGTCAACATTATTATTTTGCCGCTTAGTCGACTTGATAAAGCGATGTCGTCAGATATACAGCATCTGCCTGCTGTGTTCTGAGAAAACATTTCTGACATTTCAAATATCTCTCACTATGAACATTTTTTTGCTGATTAAATGAGGAATTCATTTTTAAAATGCTGCTTACCTTGCAAATATAGAGGAAGCATCTTGCGAATACGTATTTTAGATAGTACCATCTGCCTTTCTTCCGGTATAAATTCAGTATGGGCTCCGGCTCTGGAAAGAAAAATGAGTAAGAAAGTATGGAAAATAGAACCGCCACAAAAATTAGGAGCAACATGAGGCACGGTTGTTCATGCTCCACTTACGAATCCCACTCGAAAGTAGCTACCTCCAGCGCGATGTAATAATTTATCATTAAAATACAGATGCCGGCGCCGATTGGCTAAGTGTTCAAGTGTTCACACATTCCTTAACTTTCAATCCGAAAGCGTGGAAAAGGGAGCCGGATGGGTGGCGAGAGAGGAGGGGAGGGGGCTAAAATCAGAGAGATACGGACCCACGACACTTCAATCTACGCGGAGTCTCTCGACAAGTATACATCGTTGAGTTTTTCTCATTTAGCGACTGGATTTTTCATTCCTTTTTCATCGAGAATGAATCGATTTTCATCTTTCCGAAGCGCTCTGCCCCCCCCCTTCCCTATTGAGAAACAGGGTAAAAAGTTTTGATTTTAAAAGTCGAGATCCCCGATGTGTGCGTGCAAATTCAGATGGTCATCTTCCATTCACATTCTCAACGCGACAAAAGGATCGCCTTCAATTATGCATGATACCTCTTCAATGACACAGGAGCTGACATTGTTGCAAGTCGAATCCAGGTACGCCCGATTATTGAAACTAAGTCGGTCCGACATGACATGACATAGCCCTATGGTGAACATGCAATATATAGCATTTCCATGTCTTCTCCGGTTGCTTCAAACTTTCAATAATCGGACCGCTGGACCGTGAACTGAGCTCATAGCCATTTGTTCAGCCTAAATGCTTTCTGAAATGCCTGGATTGCATTGCTATGGTTTGAGGAGGCCTTAAAGTTGAAAGAATGATTATAATTCCAGACTAATGACTATAACTGCAGACTGATTTTTGCATTTTGAGAGCTAAGAACGAGGGATTTCTGAGCCTCGTGGGTCCAAACTGTTCTTCTTCACTTAAAATATAGTATCAGCAGAGTCATTATCCGAATTTGCGACTTTCTAGCTCGATTGCATTTTCCAAAAAAAATTTGCGAAATTGCTAAGATGCCAAGATGAGAAATCGGTAAGAAAAACCACTTAAGTGCCTTGCGGGGCCACTTAACCTTCAACTACGACCCTGAGATTTTTTTGTGACTTTTTTCTAATCATGAGACTCAACTTTTTGGCAAGTATCTCTGTTGGATTTCGCAATTTTTTTTTTCAACGTCCATAATGGGACACCCTAATGAGGGTCAAAGTATCTCTTCTACCTTGTATTAAGACCCTGAATAAATCTTCTGCAGGGGTGCTTATGTGTACCGAGCAGTTTTGGCGTGCGACTTCATCTCTGTATTTTTTCTCGATTATAATTTTTCGACATTTCGATGGCCACATTGCGAAACCTCGTATCTCCATTGGGGGGTTTCAAAATTTCCGCTTCTGATTCATTTTTTTGAGGAGAAAAAAGCTAAGTTTATGACTTGAAATTCACACCGAATATTCTGCTGATAGGGAAGAGAAATCAAGGATGATTAAAAAAATTACATTGATTAGTTTTCCAAAGAGAAAATAAAGTATGGCAGGACGTTTGCCACCTCGCAAACGAATACACTTAATTTCGCACTTTAACCATCGATTTTCATCGCTATACATAGTCTTTTTCTGCACAATTTGGCAGAGTTTAGACTTTACATCAGAAGAAGGAGGAAATAGTCGCACTATCCACCTCAGCAAGCTCATCTGATAACAATAAAGATGTCCACTGATTAGCGATAATGGTAACAACACGGCGATGAAGTATAACTATCTTCGTATCGGTAACCTGCAGTCGATGGAAGGTGCGGATCGTTGTTGAGTCGTTTTTTAAGTCGTATTCTTCAGTGCTCATATTTAATAGTGTTTTTCTACATCGTTCAACATTTTTTAAATTTCGTGTCGTTAATGCGATTTATTTTAAGTGCTTAAGTGATTTGAAATCCGAGCGAAATTAGTGTAATTAAAGACACAATTGTGAAAAGTGATCGCGTTATCAAATGCGTTAACCGAGTTGCAAAAAACGACAAATCCTCCTTTTTCTCATGCACAGTTTAAACGTTGCCAAATTGGTCACTGCCTTTTCAATGGTAAGAGTTACAAAGACGCCACCCCAGCGTAAAGCGTATAAGTATTAGATGTATGATGAGGTTAGTGTGCTCTTTAACATTGGAGCCATCAAGCAAATATATCACCGAGTGCATTAAGCCGGCTCCAGACTACGCGGCATTCGCCGAATATTACTCGCCGAATACCGAATATTTGGCAAGTCCCGCGTAGTCTGGATGGAACATTCGCGTCCACTTGGCTCGTGTTGACGCGAGGCGAGTCACTCGGCTCGGCATTCGCCCCAACCCGCTGAAAGTCGGTTTTTGTGACACGAGTCAAAGGGATCGCGAGTACGAAGCCGAGCGTCCATCGCGACATCGGAGCAACATCGGGGTGCCATCCAGACTACTCGTCCTCACTCGCCGAATGTTCGCTATAGTTTTGTAGGAAGGGGGCGAAGAGGTGCAGCGTTTTCCAGGGTTTTTTCTTCACTTGGCGAACATTTGTCTTATCCCATCAGATATTCGTTATTTACTAAATGACGAGCCAAGTACGACTTTCACGAGTAGTGTGGCGCTGTACACTCGTGGAAACATTCGAATCTGCCCGTCGATTCCCGAACCTCGAATATTCGTTACTCGGCTCGGCACTCGGCGAATGCCGCGTAGTCTGGAGCCGGCTTTACAGTCGTTTTGCACTGGAGCCTCGCCGAAGTCAATCCTTGAACGGTGCATTTCTAGGAGTGCGGCGTGGCGTGCTTTGCGATACATCGATGCATCTGCCATTTAAATCTATGGAAAAAGATCGGTAGATAGGGGGTTCGCAACGAACACCTTAACAATCGATTCTTAACCATAGCTTCAAATTGAGAAATATCGATAATCGATCATTGACGCCTCGCCACTGATTCCTAGTCTCTTCTTCGCCAAAAGTGTGGACAGAGTGTGAACCGTGCGGCATTTCTGCGAGTGTTTCTCGCCATTGATTAATTGAGGGGCTTGGAGGACAAGGCGCATAAGTGCAGTTTTCGCTATTTCGAGAAATACCTAGGTACGTGTTTGAAGTTTCGAAATCAAATGGATCCTTGTGGCGGAAAGAAAGTTCAAACTGACTTTTTGATGCTTAAAAATTGTAATTTGGGGGAAAATGTTTCACAGAATATGCATTCAGACTGGTTTTACTTTGAATCATTACTATCTCAAATTTTTCAAGAACTGCACTTGTGCGCCTTGTTCTCCAAGCCCCTCAATTTAAATCGATAATTATTCTCCAGAATTTT